TTTGTGTTAAATCTTTGAAATCCTGTGTGTGTTTTACACTCAGGTACATCTCAGTTCGGACCAGTTACATTGCAAGTGCTCAGTAGCCTCATGTGGCTCATGGCCATCTTATTAGAGAGTGCCCAGTAGTAGGAAACACAGCACTGAACAAATAAGAAAATAAGCACGTCATGACGACTTCCAAACAATTCTCTGAAAGCAAAGAAAAACATCTCAGAACGCCCATGGAGGGACTGGTGGAGAACGAGGCCTAAACCACATCATCCAAACAGAAGGGTTTTTCCTCAGTTCTGCATAACCAAGAAAGATTGTCCTTTGTTATTCTATCTAAGTGTATGGTTTGGGGGTTTTAAATTATGTATTTTTATTAAATTATTAATAAAGTATCACAGTTACTACTCTTTAACTATGTATAAGATGATGCCCATATTGGAACAAGAGTTCAGGAACTATAACCACTTAGAGACAATTGGGTGCTTTTCTTACAACCCTGTCACTGGTAACAGATTTTTAAAAAGTCAATTTCAACTTTATTAACATAACTTACATGCCATAAAATGCAGTCATTTAAATGCCTAGTTCAATAAGTTTAACAAATAAATATGCTCATGTAACCATCACTCCAACCAAGGGCATCTTATCAGCCTGGAAAATTTCCTTGGATTCATCTGAAGTCCATCCAGGACCCCCATCCCCACCCCATTCTGGGAAAACACTGCTTGGATTTCTATCACTATAGATGAGTTTTGCCTCAGCTTTTTAAACAAACATTCACCCCAGATTCTGCACAGAAAGGACTCTCCTACCAATAATGATAACAATATCACAATAACAACAATGGATTCTGTCAGCATGCCCATTGCATAGATCAGGAAAGTGAGGCTCCAGAACATCAAATAATTTGCTCCAAGTTAGCAGTCTGTATCCCCACAGGGGCTAGCACAAATCCTAGGTAGGACACATCCCATCCACACGTGTGGCTTGAAGTGGATATCACAGTGCTCATGGGAAGTGCTCACAAACATGTGTGCAACATAACTTCCAGGGGGTCACGGGACCCCACATGCCCATGCATGGGTGCTGCTCAAGGAGCCTCCACAAACCCATTGTCATTTCATGCTTTGGGGGATCCAGGTGGAGGATCTGATTGTGAAATATCGGAAAAAGAAGAAAACAGTGGCTGGGATCATCGTGGAACCCATCCAGTCTGAGGGTGGAGACAACCACGCGTCTGACAATTTCTTCCGGAAGCTGAGAGACATCTCCAGGAAGGTCAGTGCACTGGCCGAGGCTGGACAGGGCCACAGGCCATTTCCAGCCAGATTCCCAGAACAGAGAGGGTTAGCTTTGGGATCCTTGTAAACTTCCAGATGTTCAGAGGCTACCTGTTGGCCTCACAGTTAGAGAAGTTGGGAGTAGGGGGACAAGACAGAGAATTCTTCCCTGAAATCTTACTGCAAAATCAGCCTCCATCCAGCCATGCCTTCTTAGTCAGGCTTTCATAATCAAGGCATTCCTGGGAAGAGACTCCACCCTTCCCTTTCTAGAGACTCCACCTCAGCTTTCAGCCCAGTGTGGCCCACATTCAGCAGAGGCAAAATGAACAGACTTTATATTAATATTGTGTTTATTTTATGTCCTGCATATACAAATGGCACATCCAACCAGCAAGTTCACAGATGAAGGTTATATGACATGACTTGATTTAAACAAAATGTGAAGTAAAGAACAGTTCTGGTGATGAGCAGAACTGCCAAACGTGATGGCAGATGTTTGGGAGACAGGGCCAGGCCTCACTGCAGGGCCATGTTTCCTTCAGAGTAGGTCAGCTTGCTCAGGGACTGAAGCCAAGTGAAATGCTGCCATGCTTTGGATCAGGGCATGTTCAGCATTCTGGTTTGGCTCAGGCTCAGAAACAGGAGGACATGTTCAGATACAGCTCTGGTGGGACTGCCTGCTTAAGCATTTGTTTAGTTTTCCCCAACAACATGGACTTGGCTTGCAGTTTAGAAAGCACCAACTCTGGCTGGATGACTGGGTCAGAGGTTGGTCGATTGTGGTGGGGTGTGTTTCTCCCTCCTCTCTCTCCAGCATGGCTGTGCCTTCTTGGTGGATGAGGTCCAGACGGGAGGGGGCTGCACTGGCAAGTTCTGGGCCCACGAGCACTGGGGCCTGGATGACCCTGCAGATGTGATGACCTTCAGCAAGAAGATGATGACTGGGGGCTTTTTCCACAAGGAGTTCAGGCCAAATGCCATGAGTGCCTAATCCACCCTTTTCTCTTTTCCAGGACTGAGGAAGGAGATGGGTGAAGTATCATTGCTTTCTCAAAACTGGGCCTTCTTCAGAAACCAAGAACTGAGTGGATGCTTAATGTGTCATGGAAATTTTCTAAGGGTCAATTCTTATCAATTTAACTCACCGGGGATTTCAATCACCCCCACTCTCTGCAGGGCTGACTTCATATCAGTCCATTGTCAGTCTTCTATTTTTTCTGCATGTTAATAACTGCTGCTGTAAACTGAGCATTTACTCTGTGCCTTGCACAGTTCTAAGTACTCTTCATGTACTTTTATCTCTACAACAATCTAGCTCTTAGCTACTACACTGTACTATCCACAAGTAATGTGGATTCTCATAAACACACACACACAGTTATCAGGGACTTAGGATCCTTCCTCCTACCATTCCTGCATGTGGTTTCCACCCTTGAGGATGCTTCATGGTCCAAAGAGGCTACTAGAACTCCAACCATCACTTCCCATTCTAGGCAGTAGAAAGGAAAAAGGAGGGAAGCACAAAGTGAGCCTCCCCTTACCTTTAGTGGCTTTCCCTGAAATCCCACAACTCTTTTAACACTCTGACTCAGATCTGGTCACATGGCCACTCCTAACTGCAAAAGAAGCTGGGAAGTAGGTTTTACTTGGCTGCATTGCCACCCTGAGTAATTCATGGAAGAAATAATTGGGTCATCTTTGAAGGCCAGACTGCCATTAATTCCACTCCTGAGTCCACCACCTGTGCAGTTTTTTTCTGGAGAAATCACTTAACTTCTCAGAACCTTGGCTTTCTCCTCTATAAAATGATGACTATAGTTAAGGGCCAACTATCTTGATTTCTCCAGGACTGAGGGATTTCCCAGCACATGAGGAATTGGCCTCTGTGTGACCAAATGTCATACCTCCTACAGAGTTGTTGTTATGGAGAGAATTCAATGAGATAATATGTGTAATCCCTCCCAGCCCTTCCTTAGTAGACACTCACTGAGTTTGTTTCTCTCTTAAACTGGGGAAGGGGGGGAGGCAGAGGGGCAAGGTGTGTCTGGAGGGCATGGGCCCCTGAAGGGTGTGCCCATGAGTGAACCTTTCCAACACCCCATGCTTTGTTCCAGCCATACCGGATCTTTAATACCTGACTGGGTGACCCGTCCAAGAACCTGCTGCTGGCTGAGGTCATCAGTGTCATCAAGCGGGAGGACCTGCTGAATAATGCACCCCATGCCAGGAAGGCCCTGCTCACAGGGCTGCTGGACCTTCTAGGTACCCACCCAACTCTGCCACTCCCCAGCTCTCCCAGGACCCCACCCATACATAGCTCCCACAGTCCCCAGGCCAGCATCTGAGCCCTCTAGCATGGCAGCGCAACTGCTCCTTCAGCAGGTGCAGAGGCAGCAGCTCCAAGGACCACCCCTTGCCCCTAGGCAGGGGTGCTAGATTTAGCAAATTACAACATAAAATGCCAGCTTAATTTGAAAAACAGCAACTTTTTTAGCATAAAAGTATACCTCATGCAACATTTGGGACATACTTATACTAAAAAGTGACATTATTTATCTGAAATTCAAATTTAACTGGGCATCCTGTATTTTATCTAACAACCCTAACTCAGAACAAGTTGAACTTAGAAAAATATGATCATTTTCATTTTCTTCATGAGAAAAGGAGGCTTGGGGAGGTGAGAAGCAGCAAGGGGGCCAGATTTTAAACCCAGATATGCCTGATTGCAAAGACTATGGAGTGGTTAAGTGTGGCTGTTAAGACAACATAGAACTTCTAGATGAATTTCTTTTTCTTTTCTTTTTTTAATTGTATTTTATTGATTATGCTATTACAATTATCCTGAATTTTCCCCCTTGGCCTCCCTTCACTCAGCACCCTCACTTCCTCAGAAATTCCCCCTCCATTGTTCATGTCTGTGTATCATGCATATAAGTTCTTTGGCTACTCCATTTCCTATACTGTACTTTATATACTCATACCTATTCTGTGGCTATCTATTTGTACTTCTTAATCCCCTCACCTCTTCACCCAGTTCCCCCATACCAGCCCCCATCTGGCAACCAACAACATGCAATCCATATCCATGATTCTGTCTCTATTCTTGTTTGCTTAGTTTTTTAGATTCAAATTGTTGATAGGTATGTATTTTTTTTCCATTTTATTGTTCATAGTTTTTGATCTTTTTTCTTATTTTTTAAAGATTGTATTTATTTATTTATTTTTAGAGGGAAAGGAAGGGAGGAAGAAAGAGAGGGAGAGAAACATCAAAGTGTGGTTGGCTCTCACGAACCCCCAGCTGGGGACCTGGCCTGCAACCCAGGCATGTACCATGACTGAGAATCGAACCAGCAATGCTTTGGTTAGGAGGACAGCCCTCAATCCACTGAGCCTCACCAGCTGGGGTGATCTTTTTTCTCTTAATTTAGTCCCTTCAACATTTCATACACTAATGGTTTGGTGATGACAAATTCCTTTAGTTTTTTCTTGTCTGGGAAGCTCTTTATCTGCCCTTTGATTCTAGATGATAGCTTTGCTGGGTAGAGAAATCTTGGCTGTAGGTCCCTGCTTTTCATGACTTTGAATATTTCTTGGCCAATGTCTTCTAGCCTGCAGAGTTTCTTTTAAGAAATTAGCTGATAGTCTTGTGGGAACTCTGCTGTAGGTAACTACTTTTCTCTTGCTGCTTTTAAGATTCTCTCTTTATCTTTAATCTTTGGCCTTTTAACTATGATGTGTCTTGGAGTGGGCCTCTTTGCATTTATCATAATTGGGACTCTGTGCTTCCTGGACGTGCATGTCTATTTCCTTCTTCAAATTAGGGTAGTTTTCTTTCATTATTTTTTCAAATAGATTTCCAATTTCTTGCTCTTTCTCTTCTCCTTCTGGAATCCCTGTGATGAGAACATTGAACCCTTTGCAGTTGTCCTAGAGGCTCCTTATACTTTTCTCATTTTTTTTGGATTCTTCTTTATTCTTGTTGTTCTGATTTTTTTTTGCTTCCTTATGTCCCAAATTATTGATTTGATTCTTGGCTTCACACATTCTACTGTTGTTTTCCTGTAAATTGTCCTTTATTTCAATTAGTGAATCCTTCATTTCTGGCTGGACCTTTTTTATGCTGTTGAGGTCTTCACTAAGTTCCTTGAGCATCCTTATAACCAGTGTTTTGAACTCTGCATCTGATATATTGCTCATCTCCATTTTGTGTAGCTCTTTTTACAGAGTTTTGATCTGTTCTTTCATTTGGGCCATGTTTCTTTGTCTCCTTGTTTTGGTAGCCTCCCTGTGCTTGTTTCTATGTATAGGTAGAGCTTTGACTCTGTGACTTGGTAGTGTGGCCTAAGGTAGTAGTTTTCATGTAGGGTCCAGTGACACAGTCTCCCCTATTCCCAAGCTGGGTACTCAAGATGTGCCTGTTATTTGGGCTGAATACACCCTCCTGTTGTAGCTGAGCCTTGGTTCCTGTTGGTAGGTCAGTTCAAGAAATTTACCCAGGCCAGTCAGCTACAAGGCTTGACTCTAATGATTGACTACCAACCTCAGCCCTCTGTGGAGGATCAGCTGTGGGGGGACAGGGTGGTGGTGCTTTGATAAGATCTGTAGCTGTCCACTGGGTGCACTGGCCCTGGGGTTTCCTGATTGGTGCAGACCAAGGTCAGCCCCCACCTATGTTTTGCCAGGGCCACCCTGCCTGAGCTGTAAGGCAATCTGAGATGGCTGCTGTTTGTGTTGGAGATTCCCAGGTGAATCCAAGCTGTGAATCTAGGCTGGGTGCTGCTAATGCAGGGCTTCAGGTTCACTGAAGCCAGGTATTGCTTATTTAATAGAATTTAGGAAATTGTGCAGCATAAGCCAAGACCAGCCATTCATATGGAAAAGCAGCTTGGGTGTGCCCATAAGTTGGGTGGGGTGGAGTCTCTGGGGGATCTGTCAAACTAGAGTCCAAACAATGGTGTTAGACTGATGGAGTTCATGTATCACATCAGCTGGCTGGCTCTGTAGGGGGAAGGTTTAGAAAAGGGACAAGGGCTTCTGCTAGCCTTGATACCAGACTCTTCACTTTCTCCCAGTATGCCACTGGTGCCTTTTTAGATGCTACCCCAGTGCTGAAGCTCAGAAGGAGTAAGTCTGAGAAAGGTCAGTCCATGCATGGGTTAAGAGGAACTGCTTGGGGCTCTAGAAGTTTCTTCCACTGACCTAACCCTCACTGGTTTTTGTAGCCAGTTATGGGGACTTACCCTCCTGGAACTGGAATCCTGGGCTGGGGTGCCTGGTGTAGGGTTCGGATTCCTTGCTCCTGAGATATCCCTCCTGAATTTTTATCTACCACACATGGGTGAGAGACCAGCTCATTCTGCATGTACCCCTCCTACTAGTCTGGGTATATGTGGTTTGTTTAATTCCATAGTTGTCACACTTCCATTTGACTCATTTTCTGAAAATTCTGAGTGATGGTTGTTCTATATTTTAGTTGTAATATTCATGTGGTTGTGCAAACAGGCGAGCCATGCCTGCCTATGCCACCATAGACAGGCCAGGCTTCTTGACCAGAAGTCCTCTTTTTCTTTTCTGGAGAGGATTTGCATTTGAATTGAGGTTGGGCAGGGACAGGTACTAGAAAAAGCCTCTGCAGTGGGTCAGGCCCTTCCTTCTTGATGGGGTGCTCCTTCACTGTCCTCCAGTGGGGCAGGAGAAATGACTGGTGTGCTTTTATTTCCCTGGTTGATGTCTGGGCCCTGCTTACAGATATTAATACAGCCAGGGCCCAGCTTGGTGGGGATCTGGTTGTTCTGGGCTATCACAAACATGGCTGCTCCCTGTCCAGATCTGAAGACAGTGTTTCCCAAAGAGGTGACCACTGATGGTCCTTGGCACCAACTCAGCTGCCAATAAGAAGCCTCAATTTGGAGTGAGGTGAAAAATGGAACTTTATTCAGTGCAAAACAGCTCAAATATGACACAGTATGTCTGTGAGGCAGCCCAGGGTCCAGGCCCCTCTCCAACCACCCAGCTCTGCTTCGCTTGCTCTGTTCAGCCTAAAATAACAGGTAGAAAGGGAAAGTGCACTCTCACAGCAAGCAGGAAGCTGGTTGATATAGACAGAAGTCCCCACCCTGAACCCTGATTGATCTGTACTAAAGCAAATGAGGACTCCAAATCATCACAATTTGAATGGACTGAAGGCACTGTCCTGATTGGTCAGAATCAAGCCACTCGATTGGTTGAAGCTATTCAGCTCTAATTGGATAGGGAAAGCCTCAATCCCATTGGTTGAAATAGAATTCCAAGAACTTCTTTATAAGGGCTAGCTTAGATGGCACAGAGTGCAGGCAGGCAATCTAGCACACAGGCAAGTAGTTCTGGGTAGCCATTCATATGGAAAAGCAGATTGCTGGGCCATAAGTCAGATTTTTCCCTGGACAGGCTTTTCCCTGAGGTGCAGTTTACATGAGAGGCCCCAGCATAGAAGTGGCTGCTAGGCTCTGGGTTTGTTTTGTTGTTGTTGTTTGCTTGTTTGTTTTTAATTTGAGTCAAGTTAGCCATCAGGAGCCCTTCTTAGTAGGTGCCTTCTTTCTCAGGGTGCACAGTGGGTTCCCTATGCAGGACAATGCCACAAAAAAAAGTTTCCATGGAAACATTGTAGAGCCTCTTAAGACTGACATCTTTGCTTTTAGGAGCCCTGAGCTGGCTCATTTAAAGAAATGGGAGCAATTAGGGATCCTTATCAGGGCATTCAAAATCTATAGGCAAGAAGGAGCTAAGGTTAAAGGAATGACCTAAAACAAGAAACTAGACAAATGGGTGAGACAAAAGGATGCATGTAGATATAGTCTTAGAGGCAACATTCAAAGCCATTCAGTGAGGAGCAGGTGGGGATTTCTACCCTGGCATTAATTAAACAGTTACTGTGTGTGTGTGTGTGTGTGTGTGTGTGTGAGAGAGAGAGACAAGGATGACAAAGGGGTGTCCAAATGGATGAGACCTTGTTTCTGGCCTCCACACTCTGATGGGAGACAGAAATGTGTTCATATCACTGGTTCCCAGCCAATCAGCAAGTGCAGGGATGAATAGGGTAAGTGCTGAAGTAACTTCTGTGCCTCATTTCTTCTACTGTGGAGACCAAAATGGGTCCTTCACTACGAGTGTGGGGGTTCAAGAACATGCATATAAGAGCCTAGCAGTGTTCCTAGCATATCTGTGGGGCCTTTATTATCACCCCAATGCCTACCAAGGGGCTGTAACAAAATGACACTTGTCCCCCATCTCTGCCTCCAGTACCTGAAATTATTGTGGGTTGTCCAACCCCTGTTTGCTGTCCTTCACATGGATGATGGAGAGTGGG